TACCAGGGCTACTTTCTCATTTTCTCTTGTTTTACAAGGAAACTTGTTAAGTGTCCACAATGTGAAGGTAGTTGTGAAGATAGTTAGGCTGGGTGGACAAAGAAGAGTGGCTTCAGGAGGGGAATTTGTAAGGCAATAAACACAATAGATGATTTCTTGTGCTTGGAACTGCTTTCAGTTTGCACATTCAAAAGGGAGTCCTTCTTACTCTTCCTCTATGGGATCTGCTGCCCCACATAGAGTCATCAACAGAGCAACAATGGGGGACAGAGAGACAAGGCCTTCTGACTGTTGCCATGGTGAAAGCCAATAAGAAGTGTTCATTCTCCATGCTGCTTCCTGGCAGAACATCCATTGATTCATTCATTCAATGACATTTAATGAGCTCCTAAAATGTGCTAGGCACTGTTCTAGGTGGAAAAATACATTGGTGAACAAGAAAGACAAAATTCCTATTCTTAAGAAGCTTGCATTATATTGGAGGAGACAGACAACAAATAAGTATATAAATCACATTATTTTAGACAATATGATAACACATAAATCATATTTTAGACAAGAATTCTAAAAATATCTAAAATATATAAATCATATTTTAGAAAATAATGAGCACTCTAAAAAATAAAGCATGGTAAGAAGGCAGAGAATGTTGGGAGTAAAGTGAGAAGCAGATTCTTTAGGCAAGGTCTCCTCAAAGGGTTGACATGTGGGACTAGATTTGAGTCATGTTAAAAGTTAACCTTCCAGGTAGAGGGGACAGCGAGTGCAAAGACCATGAGGATGGTATGAACTTGGAATGTTTAAGGAACAAAAAAGCCCACCTGGAGTGAGTGAGGGGCAGAAAGGGGAGAGAGGGACCTGTGAAGAGAAGCAGGGATGATATAAGATGTTTAGATTTTTCTAAAATATGATGGAAAACTCCAAGAGGAATTTTAAGCAAGAAAGTGTGACCTGATGCATATTACGCAACACAGACTATGACTACTGAAGGCAGGGGTGACTGAATCACACAGGGAAAGAACAGAGGCAGAGAACAGCACTGAGACTACAGCTGTAGCCTATGGAAGAGATAATGATGGGTTAGAGGAAGGTGGGAGAAGGAGACCTGGTGAGAAGGGAAATTTGATTTGGGATTATTTCTTTAAGGTATACTGACAGGGCTTGATGCTTTGTATGTGGGGGCACAGGGCAAGTCAAGGAGGACCCTGAGTTATTTAGTTGGATCACTTGGTGAAGGCTCATGTCATGTCCTTAGAAGTCAGCAGTGAGAAATTTAAGAGAAGGGAAATTTCAAAAGTCCTTATTTGGCCATATAGCTATTTGTCATGATCATTAAAATATTTTTTAAAAAGCTTTGAGATATAATTCACATGCCATACAATCCACCCATTTAAAGTATATAATTCAATGTTTTTTACTACATTGTGAATACCTGTGAGAGTTTTACATCCATCACCACAATCAAATTTAGAGCCTTTATATTACCCCAGAAATAGCCCCTGCATTTTTAGCCATTACCCCCTAATCCTCCCTAACCCCAAGCCCTAGACAACCACTAATCAGATGTTTTGTCTCTATAGATTTGCCTATTCCTGACTTTTCATAGAAATGAAATTGTATAATATATGGTCCTTTGTGACAGACTTCTTTCACTTAGCATGATATTTTCAATGTTTGTCAATGTTGTAGTATGTGAATGCTTCATTTCTTTTTATTGCTAAATAATGTTCCATTATATAGGCATACCACATTTTATTTATCCACTTATTTGTCAATGGACACTTGGTTTCTACTTTTTGGCTATTTTGAATAATGCTCTAAACACTTATGTACAAATTAGTATATAGACATAGGTTTTCATTTACCTTCTGTGAATATCTAGGGATAGAATTGCTGTATCATACAGCAACTCTACGTTTAACTGTTTAAGAACATTTTACATTCTAACTGGCAGTATATGAGAGTTCCAGTTTCTCCATATCCTCACCAACATTTATTATCTATTTTATTCTAGCCATCCTAGTGGGTGTGAAGCGATATCTCACTGTAGTTTTGCATTTTCCAGATGGCTAATGATGTTGAACATTTTCTCATGTGTTTATTGGCCACTTGTATATATACCTTGGGGTAATATCTATTCAGATCTTTTGCCCATTTACCTGGCCTTTTATTGTCTTGTATTATTTAGTTGTAATAGTTTTTTAGTAGACACAAGTTCCAATCAGATGTCTTACAAAAATACTTTTTCATTTCATGCATTGTCTTTTTACTTAATTGATGGTGTCCTTTGAAGTACAAATGTTTTTAGGTTTGATGATGTGACCATATTATATTCAAGATGTCTAATAGGCAGGTAGATATGTAAGCCTGGGGTTCAAAATAGAGGCTGGGGATAGAGATGCACATTTGAGAGTCATCCATGTATAGATATTATTTAAATCCGTGAGGTGGGATGAGCTTAACAGGGAGGGAGGAGGAAGTGTGGCTGGAAGGGAAGGGCTGAGGAGTGAGTCCTGGGGCTCTCCAATACTTAGAGATCAGGAAGAAGAGGCCATACTGAAGGAGAGGGAGGACTTGGGATTTGGCATCAGGTAAGATGTTTCAATGGGGCTTCCACTAAGCACAGGTCTCACTGTACCATCTCACCATCAAGCATATACATAGCCATGTGTACCTTCATTGTCACTACAGAAACTTGGTGGGCCCATTCTATGAAGGTAACCTTAGCTTAACAGGCCTACACACTCAAAATCCCTCACTTAAGGATTGTACTTATAGGAGGAGACTGCAGTACTTAGTTATCTAGGAAAGTTTTATGACCTTGTTGAGATTAACTTGTGTTACTGTTAATGGATGTTATGCTGCAAAGCTATGACAGAACATGTGTCTTGCCTTTTTTTTAATGGAACAAGTAAAAGTCCCATCCCACAGGACCAGCTAATCAATTACACAAATACTTTAAAGATAGAGAGCTCCAAAGATCTTACCCATACCACCTTTTCCCCTTGCTGGGATGACTGTACTTTTAAGGATTCTGGGCTTTCTGAAATCAATAAAAGGGCCTTGGAAACAACAGTCCAAAGCACTTAAGGCTGTTCCTGCTAAGGTGTACTTAAAGAATGCAGAGGAGAGAGAGGAAATGGTTCTTACAACACAACATGAAGTATGGTGGCCTTGTCCACAAAAGCCAAAAAGTCTTGGGAAATCCTATTTTCTTTAAGATGTGTCATTTTAATGTTAGCTTTAAATGCAACACGCTCCAGGTGGAAGAAAAAACATGTGGACTCCATTAACGAAAATAGAGTCAAGCAGACAGATTTCCTCTGGGCCTTAGTTGAATCTGAGCTGGAGTCAGCTGACATCAGTTTACCTCTTAATCATTCAGCTCAGCTTCTGGATTGCACAGCAGACTTCTTGAGTTGGAATTCACCTGTTTGTTCGCTTTCTTTTTCATCTGCCAAAGGACCACAACATAAAGAGCCAAGTGGGACAGTGGCTTGCACACAGAAATATCTAGAAAAATAGGGCAGAGACCAGAAGAGCATGTTAGTGAAACCTTCTCTTTTTATAAGCTGCGCTGCTAATTTTGTGAACTTCCCTGGAGTACTGGGGTCAAAGTTGTGTAGGGGTTACGGATACACGAAGTGAAAGTGGGTGCAAGAAGTGAGAAGGGCACATTCTTATTAGTGAAGAGGATTCTGAAACGTTGGAATTGGTTTCCAGGAAATGAGGGAGGGCTGTTTTGAGGTTTCCACGGACTCCTCTGCGATCCCTGTTGTGAATAACAAAGGGATAGTGGTGGTGAGGTGGGGCAGGGGTTCAGAGAGACTGGGAAGACTGAGCAAGCCAGGTAACTTTAAATTATGTGGGCCTCATTTGGCATAAATTAGAGGCTGTCATTTCAGATTTCACGACTTTACATATCCAGTTAAAAATAACATTCCTAGATGTTAGTGGGACAATTAGGAAGTGGGACAGAAGTCTCAAACCTGTGGGATCTTCATAGGGAAGGTCAGGTCCTGAAACGGTCGCATAGAGGGGAGAGGACGCATTCTCTTCTTGCCCATAAGTAGAAACAAAGCCCAGCTTTTCTCTCCAGAGAATGGTGTGGTGGTGGGGGAGGGAAAAGAAGGTGGAGGTCCCGGAGAAATTGCAAATGAGGCCAAAATGTGACTATGAAAGAAGAGTGGGCTTTTGATGATACCATTAAGAAAATCAGGCAAGAAAAAAAAAAAGATGGTTAGGAATTACCCCTATGTGGCAGCATCTGCCCTGCAGAATGAGGTTTGCAAATAGACTTCCCAAACCCCAGCCACAGCTCGCTCTGCCTAGAGAACCCCTTTTCTGCACCCCAACTTCAGCGCCCTCTTCCTGCACCCCTAAAGAGGGTACTCAGTCATAGGGGTTCACCCGGAGTGCGGAGACAGAAGGTACAGGTGGTGAGTGGGGATTCAGCCATCATCCCCCTCAGGTCCCTCCCCACCCAGCTGACAGGGCGAATCCCGAGTAACTGTTTTCCGAGGGGCCGTGCGCGCTCGGTGGCGCCGCCTCCGTCTGGGTTCCCCTGAGGAAAATTGCCCACCCGCGAGGGTTCGGCGGCTTTTCCACTCTGCGGGGCTGAACTGTGGCAACTTCGGCGGCCCCCACCGCGGTGCGGAAGCAGAGACCACAACCGCGGCTCGGCGGGGCTGGAGCGCGTGAAGCCGTGGGGGTGCCGTGCGCCTCGCGCTCCCTCCTTTCGGCCGCAGGTCCCGGGACTCCGACTTCGGTGCTCCGGATGGTAGCGGCTGCCGCGCCAGCAGTCCAAATCCTAGCAGTTCCGCGGGCGAAGGAGGCGAACTGAACAGGCCCCCAGTGCGGAGCGCAACCAGCCAGAGTAGCCAAGCCCGCGCTCGCTCCTGCCCCGGCTCCCAGGCGAACGCAGCCGCAGCGGGGGCCGGGCACCGAGCCCCGCGCCTCCGCCGCCGCCCGCGGTGGGGGCGGGCTGGGGGCGGGGCGGCCGGGACTGCCTTAGCGGGCGCGTCCCGGAGCGCAGCACCCGGCGCTGCGTAGCCACCTCCCCCGCAGCCCGCTAGCAAGTTTGGCGGCTCCGAGCCCGGCGCGCCTCAGGATCCGGGCTCATTTGTTTCCACCTAGCTTCGGTTCGCCCTGCTAGGCGGGGACCCTCGGGAGCGATGCCGATGGATGTGATTTTAGTTGTGTGGTTCTGTGTGTGCACGGCCCGGACAGGTAAGCAGTACTGGGGCGGTGAGAGGGATCCGGGAAATGGGGGAGCCCCGCCGCTTCGCCCAGAGCGCACAGCTGCGTGGGGAGACGGAACCGAGCTCTGCGCTGGCCTGGGGAACGGCAGTAGCGTGGACAGCTTCCTGGGGTCTCTTTGCCCTGCTCGGAGTGACAGGGTGAGAAGCGGGACTCACGGGCTTGAAGGTGTCCCCGCTGAGTGCCCCTTCTCGGGGGACGCGGCCTCGGGGACGCTGGTGTGAGGGGCGCGGCCGAGCGGGCGCACCCTCTTGCAGCTAGTAACCAGCTTTCCGGTCCCAGGGAGTCGAAACCCGCAGCAGGGCTGGCCTGCGACCTCCAGGTCCCCAAACTTGAAAGGCGCTGTGGAAACTGCTCTCGCCGCCCCCGGCCAGGCTGGGAAGGGGTAGATGCGGGAGTCGCGCCCGTAGAGGGAGCGCTTCCGGCTGGCGGGCGCGGCCCGGGCCTGGAGGGCGCGGCGCGGCGACCGGAGAGAGCTGCGGGAGAACCCTGGGATCCGGCGATCTCCTCCTGTCCCTTCCTGACTACCCCTGAGAACTCCAGGAGTATTCTTCTCCAACCCTCTTGGCTCGCAGGAGATGGGCGAACAATTATTTGGGGGAAATGGAGCAGTGGAGACAATCTGGGGAAATTTTCTCAAGCTCAAACCAGTTTTCTCTTGCTATAATCGCAGGGTTGGGGTGGGGAGGGGGAACAAGGATGATGCGTGAATCTGAAGTCCCCACTTGGTTCTGCCTCCGGAGACGCAGTTGTGAGGACTCTCAGCGCGTCTTCCTCCTTCTGCTTCCACCAGCTCCCTTGCCCACAAGTCCCCTGGGGTTCGGAGACAGGCTTTCAGCCGCTTTCTTCAAAGAGCTAGTAGTAGACGCGGGGAGACTGGGGTGAGGTGGGGTGGGGTGTGATGTGGTAGAAAATTGGCAAAAATAGGGCCTGTCAATTGGGGGGAGTGTCGGCGGTTTGCAGTCCTACCCGGCCATCCTCCGTACGCGCTGCTGACTTCGCACCCTAGAATTTGTGTGGTCATCCTCTCTCCCTTTACTCTCCCCACTTTACCACCCCTATTTCCTTCTCTAGAGGCGTGGCTTTCTCTAGGCCAAAGAGCGGAGAGGGCTGAGGAGGGGCGTCTGCCCTTGGTTGTTTGGCCCAAAAGTTCCCTCCGCTTGCGCCCAGGCGCCCCTCTTTGGCAGTTAGCTCGCTGGAAGATATAGCGTCTAGGAGCTGAGAGGGCCCTTCCAACTTCCCCAGGACTGAGCAGGCAGCGGCTTTCGTCTGCTTAAGAACGTCGAGTATGGATTTCTCCAGGGACAAAAGAAACCTCCCGTTTCGTTCCTGAGCTTCACAGGCTGCGGAGACGCCAAGGCTCAGTCTAGCTTAGAATAGTTGCTTCTTGAGTTCAGGCCCATCAGGACTGGTTAATCTTTTAAAACCAGAACATGCTGAAGGATTGCGCGAATCCCAGGAAGATCAGGACAGGCAAGGCTAGTAAGTGCAGAGCGTGGGCTACCAGCCCTGAGCACGAGAGTCTGGTGCTCGTGGACATCTTAAAGAGGAACCGCAGACAGGGTGAAACTAGATAGGGAGGGGACTACCCGTTAGTCAGTTCACATCCCTAAGTGCACATCACTATGGAATATGCCTAAATTCTTTGTTCTCATGACTCCTTTAAAAAGTCGCCAAAGTACCCTTATCACAGAATGGAACATTTTTCAGGGTTCATTGCTTGTGGAGGGGATCTTTAAGAACAAGATATTTTCCCTCTTTCCACTACCAGTCCCCTTTAAATCTTGTAAAATTCTGGTTGTAGGGGAAAATTCATTCATGTTTTTATGCATTCAACAAACGGTGTCTTGCTGGGTGCCAGGATTTCTTATGCAAACAGAAAATGACTTAGTCCTTGACTTCTAGGAACTTACAGCATAGTTGGGAATCTAGATGGAAACTGGCAGGCATTTTAATTTTACAGATTGATGGGGGGGGGTGATGGAGAGGTAGGAGTATAAGTCTGTATTAAGGAAATATGGAGGAGGGACAGTTTGAATTAATTCTGGGGAGGAGTGGTGGTCATGGATTTGAGAGTTGTGCCTTCAAGGCTTTGTAGGGAGTTTTCCAGGTGGACAAAGTGGGAAGGTATTCTAGGATGAGGGAGCAGGTTGAGCAAAGGCAGGGAAGCATGGAAGGATCTGGCACATTGGTTGTGGCTGTTACCTAGGGAGCTTGGGTTTTCAACGCCACTTGACACTACTCGAACACTAGACGCCACATATTTCTTCTACACACATTATCAGAAGAATCAGAGAGACGGGGAGTGGGGTGGATTACCTCTCAATTTGTACACTTAAAATATCTTGTAGCTGGAGAGGATATAAGCAGTAGCTTTCTGGGGGCAGCCCCTTTGATTTTGTCCAGGTATCACCATTTCCATATCACCCATTCACCCTCTCCTTAGATAACAAAGGCTGACTTGTGATTAGTTTATCAGGATCCAAACTGCTGCATGAAAAGTTTCTTTGTCAAGTGTGACAATTGTTGTCTGGGCTGTTAACAGTCCTAGATGAAATAAACATGTGGTTCACTTAGTGCCTGCTCAGGTATCACCGCCTTTTAAAGGAACTGAGTAGATGATATCAGGCACATTTTAATTAAAGCAAGACTGCCGTGCAGACACAGTGCATATGAAAAGATCTAAAGATAGGGGTCATAAGGAGTTGCTAAAATCTGCCTTGTTCAGAGAACTTGTTTTAAGAGTGCAAAGCGGAGTCAAGACGGGAGGTGCGGTTCTCCAGTTTTTGTTATTTCTGGTTGAGAAATAATTCAGAGATTTTTCAGGTACATCACTAGTAATGAAAATTTAAAAGGCTACAATAATAGAAGTAATAACACACTATCTCTATGAGTTTTCTCCAATGCTTTGGCAGTGTTAATAATCGAAAACTCAATAATTATTCCCCCATTGCTTTCCGGTTTTGGTCACCACGGTAGAGGGTAAAGGGAGTACAAAGCCCCTGCTGACCAAGTGAATGTTTTTTGCTGCCACCTGCTGGAAAGGAGAGATTTTCTTTCTTTCTTTCTTTTTTTTTTTTTTTTTTTTTTTTTTGAGGACTTTGGCTCTTGTTCCCCAGGCTGGAGTGTAATGGCACAGTCTGGCTCACTGCAACCTCTGCCCCCTGGGTTCAAGCGATTCTCCTGCCTCAGCCTCCCGAGTAGGTGGGATTACAGGCATGAGCCACCATGCCGGGCTAATTTTGTATTTTTAGAAGAGACAGGGTTTCTCCATGTTGGTCAGGCTGGTCTCAAACTCCCGAACTCAGATGATCTGCCTGCCTTGGCCTCCCAAAGTGCTGAGATTACGGGTGTGAGCCACTGCACCCAGCCAAGAGATTTTATTTTTGAAGGAACTCTCTGGTGGATCATTAATTATGAATTGAATAATGGAGCTGTGAATATGAGCCCCCAGCCTCCAAGGATCATGTAAAATATTGGCCAGCTTGGAACAGGCGTAGAGCATATTCTTCAAGAAAATTGCTTTTGGAGTATTAAGGACCTTTTTAGGTCCCCAGAGGTCCAAATCTGGTTAAGTGGTTGTAAAATTCTGTGGTTAAATGAGCTCTTGGAGCATCATTCTAGCATTATTTTAGTCTGCATGGTCCGGAGGAAAACAGACAGCGTCCACCATGGACGAGGAGCGGGAGGAAATTTAAAGTCAGCCAGACCCAGGAGGATTTGCCTGGAAGCCTATGCCTGGGACCCCAAAGGTGAACTGAGTGGGCTGTGGGCCTGAGCACTCCCTGGGTGGGGGTGAGGAGCAGCCATTAGCAGCAGCAACAGGTATCTTTTTTAAGAGTGGAGGTTTCTGAATCTCAGAATCAGGCCTCAAGTGCCTCTGTGACATTGACATGCTGCCTTCCAGGTTTTAAAAATATTTCTTCCCCAGGAGCTTTTTCTCTTGCTTAATTGGAATTCCCAATCTCAGCCATTTGTAGAGCCATTATGTCCAAAGTAGAAAACTTCAATAGAGTTTCCTAGGAAAGGGCAGGAGCTCCATGCTTGGACAAGAAGCAGAAACATTAATTTTTTTTTTTTTTTTTAATGAGACCAACAACACTCACACTACATAAGGTTCAGGAGATCCCATGTAAATGCTGCCTTATTAATAGGCTTTCTGATTCCCTAGGCAGTGTGCAAAGTGCTATCCTTTACACATCCTACTATGGGCAGGAGACATTTTCATCCTGATGGGGACCAATTAAAGGGAGATAAGAAAACTGTATGCAGAAGCCTAATTGATTTCTTTTTTGTTGTATTGTTTTTATGAGCTGTTTTCATAATAAAAGCAATACACTTAAAGCCAGAGAAGTTCCTTCACTTTTGAGTTGTGGGTGGGGAGCTGGGGAGTGAATATAGGTTTCATAAATGGATTTTACAAGCAAACCTAGGGTGAGAGGCCCTTCTAGGTCAGTTGGGCATGGAGAGGGGTTGGGAGAAAAGGGGCCATCTGTATCTTTTGTATGATTCCAGTGGAGTTGAGGACCAGGGAGCTGGAGTGGTCTGGAGAACTGGTCTTATTAAAGACAGAGCTGGGTACCACCTATGTGCCAGATTGAGCTGTTGAAGTATGAATATAGTTTCCCCTGAGACCTCATGAGTCTGTTGTAACAGGTACCAGTATCTTTTTACACATGGTCACCCAAACCATGGAATTTTCTTTAGCATGAAGTATGAAGACACCCGTGTTAGCACTGATATAGAGTACTGGAGTTCTGAAGTCTCTGCTTCCGCAATTGCTTCAGGGAGGCAGGTATTAACATTCCTATTTTGTGGATGAGGAAAATGAGGCTCTGATACGTGAGTGAGATATTTAAGGGCACAGAGTTAGTAGAGGGAAGAGACTGGACTGAAACTGGCTCTCAGTTTAGTGTTGTTTCCACAATACTTTCTGGATTGAGGGAATTATGTTCTCATTTGGGGGGTGAGGATTCAAGGACACCATTAGGGTGTTCTGATAGTTCTACAGAGTTTATTTGGATGCTTTTTAGGTTTGTCCAGTTAATTGCAGGGCCCTTGGTCTGGGAGATTTGAACACCTTAAGGATGCTATCATAGAAGGTCTTATAGTCCCTGTATCAGTCAATATTGCCATAATAATTCTGTGTAACAACCCAAAACTCAGCGGCTTGAAGCACTGAGTTTGTGATATGTGCTTTTGGTTTACATATCTGTAAGTTGTGTTTGGTGCTGGCTCATCTAGGCTACATTTGGCTGGGCTTGGTTTCAAACTCAGGTAGGCCGCCAGCTCCACATGTCTAGGTCTCCTTGGACTAGTGGGCCAGCAGGGCCATGTTCTTCTCATCATGATGTGGAAGTAGAAGAGAACCAACCCCACCACACAAGCATATTCAAGCATCTTCTTGCATAATGCTGCTAACATCCCAATGGCCAAAACAAGTTACATGGCTGGCCTCAAAGTCAAGAGATGGGGAGGTTTGCTCCCATTCTAGTGGAAGGAACTGCAAAGACATACAACAAAGGCTGTGGATATGAGAGGGGTAAAGATTTGAGGCCAATAATTCAGTCAACCACTGTCTTTTTAGAAAGTTTCCTTGGCTTGCATGTCATCCGTCATCTTATGCTATCCCCAGATGTACATATTGCTCTGAGGTCATTGCACACAAAGTATTGATTGTGCACCAGATCATTAGATAATCAGGTCCTGAGTTCAGAGCCTCTCTGCCGTCTGTCCAGCCCTGTGAAAGGCACTTGGGCAACAGGGGTGCTTTCTTCTTCTTGCATCTGGTGAAGGGCACACTCTCCAGACCACTCTCCAAATTCCTGGCCAGAGAAACACCAACTTAGAGGTCCTCTGAAATTTAATTTCTGCCTTTAAACATAAACCTTAAAACCCTGCAATTATATCTCAGAATAACATCCAAGCTCCTTGTTGTGGGTAACAGTCCTTATATGATCTGGCCCTTCTCTCTGTTTCTTTTTAGCCCCTTCCCCTTCTCCTTCCTCTTCTCTTCCCCTTCCCTTTCCCCTTCCCCTTCCCTTTCCTTCCCTTTTCCACAGATTTTCACTCTGGCACCAGGCTGGAGAGCAGTGGTACTGCAGCATCTACTTCCTGGGTGCAAGTGATCCTCCTAAGTAGCTGGGACCATAGGTGTACGCCACCATGCCTGGCTAATTTTTTGATTTTTTTTTTTGTAGAGACATGGTCTACTTATGTTGCCCAGGCTGGTCTCAAACTTCTGAGTTTAAACAGTTCTGCCTCAGCCTCCCAAAGTGTTAAGATTACAGGTGTGAGCCGCCATGCCTGGTTGGCCTCATTTTCTACTTCTCTACCCCTGGCCCATTCAGTTTCAGCCACGCTGGCCTTTTTTCTGTTCTTGGGACATTCCCAGTTTGTTCCTCATTTGTATGTACCCTTCTCTACAGTGGAAAGCTTCCTCCCACCTTGCCTTTTCTAGCCATTCAAGTTTCAGCTCAAAAGAACCGTTTCGAACTCTCCTTTCTAAAGTAGGGCCCCTATCCAAGTTGCTTTCTATCCCATAACTCTATTTTATTTTCTTCACGGCATTCATTGCCATCTCAGATTATTGTATTCATTTGTTTATTTCTTGTCCTACACCCACCTAACCTGCAGGAATGCGTGCTCCATGAGCACATCGCCAGTGCCTAGCAATGTGTGTGCTGTATATAAGCACTCGTTAATACCTGTTGAAAAAATTATGAATAAATGCAGAGTGAATGGAAGGAAGACATCTTTGGGTAAACTGGTTTCACAACTGGCTACATTTGGAAGAGAAAACCTTAAATCTTCCGTTCAGGGGACAAAGGGAAGCCTGATAGAAACTGAGAAGGCAGTTACATACACTTTATCTGCCTTGGTAATAACAGGTTTCAGCTCCAAAGAGGCCTTCCTGACCAACTGTCTGTTGACAGAAGCCTAGCAGGTCTTGTTTTCTAACAGGAAAAGAGTAAGAAAAGTGTAGATTTCCTTCTTCAAGGCTGTAGGACTAGGGTTAAGGTGGGAGGACAGGCAAGGTTGTGATAGCTTATGATGTCCCAGTGAACATTCACGCAGTGGGTGCAAGCTCTCCAAATCTTGCCTCAGTGACTGCATTACTGTCAGATGAGAGGTGACAGCTGTTGCTGATTAAAACATTTCCAACAGCACAGTCGGAATTGCACTATTGAGATGATAAGTGTAGTTAGACACAGCCTTTATGAATGGCTTAAACACAGTCCCTCAGAGTGCTCACTAGCCCTATTAATACTTATAGTTGGAAATCACTTTGCAATCATGAATGAATCATTCCTCGGAGCACCCCCTGGGTGAGAGGCATCCAGGAATCGTCTTAGATGGAAATATATATCCATTATTCTAGGGATTCTCCTTCCTGTCCAGTCCCTCTGCCACCCTTCTTCAGCAGGGACAGGGTTCCTTTCCATTTTCTTCCTCTTCAGCATAGGCGGTTATGCCTGATTAATTAGGGAACACTTTGTGGAGGTGTTTACTGGTGGTGGTGGTGTCATATTTTGCTACTGCAGCTGTCTCTGAGGCAGGTGGAACAGGACCTCAATCTGGTAACCACAGTCATCACTTCTGTAAAGCCTGGAAACCCAGTTTCTTTATAACTCACCAGACAGCAAAACCTATCCTGAGTTGAACTCATTTCATGGCAAGACTTGATCTAAATTGATATCAGCCTATTTATAATCTTTATTTATGCCAATTAGAGAAGTATGTTTTTTGCTTCAGAAATATTGTATTTGATTATAGGTGATGAATTAGATTTTGCTAAAAATGTTACCTAGAATATAGTCTATAGGCCTTATTACCTTTCTAACATATGGCACCTTCTGAATTCTGAACTATATTTAACCCCAGGGGTTTTGGATAAGAGATTATCAATCTGTAATGGGGAGTGGGGTTGGCGGAAGGAACAAAGAAACTACAGTATTAGCGGGGTAAGAGAGCAAAGATTTGCTTTTCTTTTCCCTCCATAGACAAAGACTCCAAGCACTCATCACCGGCTTCCTTGTATTCCCTGCCACTCCCTGACCCTATAACCTCTGCTTCGTAATGCTACTAGCAGTCTACCTTTTAAGCCCAAACAACTCTTTGTTCCTTTCCAGTGGTGGGCTTTGGGATGGACCCTGACCTTCAGATGGATATCGTCACCGAGCTTGACCTTGTGAACACCACCCTTGGAGTTGCTCAGGTGTCTGGAATGCACAATGCCAGCAAAGCATTTTTATTTCAAGGTAAAGGCACCTCCTTTCTTGCATGGTGACAGAGGCTGGGGAGGAGGGTCTGTCTGGGGAAGTGCTCATCTGGTGTGTGTTTTTCTGGAGATTGCCTTTGCTGTTTCTTTTATGTTGCTATTCTGAGTGTTTAGATATGCAGGGGGTATTATTCTGAGGGTAGGAGGGAGGTATTAGAGGTCATGGTGATGAAATATTTGGTTTGTCAATGAAATATTTACTTGATGATTTTGGTGAGGATCTAAAGTGGAATGAATTTATAAAATACTTGAAAGCCATTGACCAGTCATATTATTGTGACGGGATATTTCTCTAGCTGTTATCTATATCTTTGCCTGTACTTATACCTATACCTTTATTTACATCTTTCATCTAGGGGATAGGCCATAAGGATGGAGGAAAACTTATGTTCTCCTTGAGGTAGAGCTTACTCAGTTCTGCCCATTATAAGCTTGACTACAATTCATTAAATCATTCAGCAAGCATTTATAGAGAGAATATGGTGTGGTTCTTAGAAGCATGGTGTTTCTCGCAATTTTGGAGGCTGTGAAGTCCAAGAACAAGGCATCAGCAAATTTGGTACCTAGTGGGGGCTGGCTGTATCTGCTTCCAAGATGATGCCTTGTTACTGTGTCCTGTGGAATGCTGTGTCCTCATATGGTAGAAGGGATGGAAAGGCAGAAGAACAACTAGCTGGTTTCCTTTCTAAAGACACTAATCCATTAATGAGGGCAAAGACCTTATGATTTAATCACTGCCTAAAGGCCCTACTTCTTAATACTAATGCACTGGGGATTAAATATGAATTTTGGAGGTACACAAATATTTAAATCATAGCAAAGTGATATGTCAACAGATACTTAAATGGATAGAAAGCCTGGTATAGGAAGGGGTGGGGTGTCTCAGAGCATTCTGAGCAGAGGAAATAGTATGTATAAAGGTAAGACAAAAACCAACAAAAAGACTTTCACATGGCTGAATGGTGGTGAATGTCTGGAGGGGTAGATAGGTGCTAGGTTACATGGGACACTGTTGGAAGAGCTGATATTCTGCAATGTGTGGGTTTGGATGTACTGATGATTTATGGCTGGTGTCCATTTCAATAGATGGGATGCTTATCAAATTATTTTTGTAATCTTTTTTTGAGACGGAGTTTCACTCATGTTACCCAGGCTGGAGTGCAATGGCGCGATCTCGGCTCACCGCAACCTCCGCCTCCTGGGTTCAGGCAATTCTCCTGCCTCAGCCTCCTGAGTAGCTGGGATTACAGGCATGCACCACCATGCCCAGCTAATGTTTTTGTATTTTTAGTAGAGACGGGGTTTCACCATGTTGACCAGGATGGTCTCGATCTCCTGACCTCGTGATCCACCCGCCTCGGCCTCCCAAAGTGCTGGGATTACAGGCTTGAGCCACCGCGCCCGGCCTGTAATCTGTTTTAAGTTACATGTTTTAAGTACAAGGTCAGTCAATGACTTTGTACTTTACTCTCAGAGAAGTGGGGTCTTTGTAAAGGTTTAAACAGGGAAATGAACTGATCAGATACCGTAGTATGGCAGCCTGGGTATATCTCTATAAAATATCTGGCAGGGTACTTTTTTTTTTTATTGCATTTTAGGTTTTGGGGTACATGTGAAGAACAATGCAGGATTGTTGCCTAGGTACACACATGGCAGTGTGATTTGCTGCCTTCCTCCCCTTCACCTATATGTGGCATTTCTCCCCATGCTCTCTTTCCCCACCTCCCCACCCCCCATCCCTCCCCCATTTCCCCACAACAGACCCCAGTGTGTAGTGCTTCCCTCCCTGTGTCCATGTGTTCTCATTGTTCAACACCCGCCTATGAGTGAGAACATGCAGTGTTTGATTTTCTGGCAGTGTACTTTTAACGCAGGCTTTTATGATGATAACAAAAAGATTATTTTAGCATGACTCAACCAACATTATGGAATGAGATTTACATATTTACTGTGCAGATAACTTAAGACTTGTTAATGATATATAGCAAATCTACAGACATTATGTAATGATATATAGCAAGACTATGGACGTACCAATTTTCACTTACTCCTTACTAATGAATTGGTGAAGTATATAAGCTGGGTATGGTTAAAAAACTAGACTGAATCACTTTCTTTTTGCGTTGTGCAAGATCTGCTCAGCCACTGTTGAGAGTCCATGCCTTTCTTGATCTGAGCAAGGCTGCTCACACTTTGTCAACAAAGTTGCTATGAAAACCTCGCTGGTCTGTAAGCTTCAAGAGGGCAGGAGTCCTGCTGAACTAGATACTCCTAGATCCTCAGGGCCAACTATTGTGCATGAAACATAGTAGGTGATTAATAAACATTTCAAATGTAATTAAAATTTCTGCTTTACTATGTACCTTATAAAAAGCTTACTGCTTGCTTTAGTTACTACTATTCATTCATTCCACAAGTGTAGGTCCCCTGGGCAGGAACTCTACTCTCTAATCTGTGTATTCTCTGTTTTGGCAACTGTCTCTGGGATGTCTGCCAAGCTACAATAACTGAGAGATTTCCAGCTTCTTTGGTGGGAAGAGTAACTTCTTTATGGAACTTTGACTGAAAAGGCCTTTCTCTTATATCTGCTGTGATTATATTGGGCTCACCTAGAAAAATCAGGATAATCCCCCCCATCTCAAGACTAGTAACTTAATCACATCTGCAAATCCCTTCTGTCATTTAAAGTAACATATTCATAGATTCTGTCAATTAGCACCTGGACATTTTTGGGGAGCCATTATTTTGTCTACCACGAAGTCTGCCCTCTAGATCCCAAAGATTTGTGTCTGTCCCATGTGCAAAATACATTCACCCCATCCCAGTATCTCAAAAAGTCTTAATCCATGATAGCATCAACTCAAAGATTGAAATCTCCCCTAATCTTAGCTGAAAAATTCTACATCTCATTATCTAAGTAATCTAAATAAGATATGGGTGAGACAGTGGGTATAATCCATTTTTGGGGAAAAAAATTCTCTCTATTGTGGTCCTGTGAAACTAGAAAACAGTCCAAAATACAGTGGTGGGACAGGCATAGGATACCGGTTATCCATATTTCTGTTCCAAAGGGAGGAAATGGAAAGAAGAAAGGAGTCATTGGTCCCAGACAATTGTGAAATTCAGCAGTGCAAACTCCATTGGGAGACCTGACTCTCAGCTTTCTCTCCAACTCAAGGAGATTGCCTGAGTTCTGCCTTCCTGTGCTACAGCCTGGAAACTCCCTGAGAGCAGTAAGCTATGGTAATTATAGGGCTCATCTCTTTTGTATCCCATCTCTGAAGGATCACTGCCCTTCATTGACTGATGGCTAGTGTCTTGAAAACTGTAGTTTCATCAAATATTCACTATAAATCTAAATTAAAATGAATTAAAATTATATAAAATTGAAAATTCATTTCCTCAGCCACACTAGCCATATTTCATGTGTTCAATTGCATAATATGTCTAGGGGTTACCATATTGGACAGTACAGATCTGGAGATGCTCAGAAATTTTACTGTTTCACTACAGCTCTGTTACTATAGGCAGGCTTCAAAAACCCTGTCTTTTAAGGTTAATGTGTGATAGCAACTATCAAGCTATTTAAGCTATCTCAAAGTACTTCCATTTACTTATTATAAAGTGGGGGTAATAATAGTGGTTGTAGTGAGGATGAAATAATACATATAAAGTGCTCGAACAGTACTTAGTGGTGAGCACTCATTAAACTTGAGTTTGTACATTTTAAAGTAATGGGGTATAGCTTTGGCCTTTTTTCCCTCATGTATATCATCTACCTTGTGTGTTTTTGATGTCATATTTTAACCCAGAGGTAGATTAGGTAGTGGAAAAAGCAGAAGATTGGGGAGGGGCAGAAGATTAAAATTAGCATTTTTTGTTTTAATTTATTTCATTCTCACTACAATGATATAAAATAGGTACTATTATTGCCTCCTTTTATCAATGAGTAAATGGAAGTATATTGAGGTAGTATTTAAGGGTGCCAGTAGATACATCTCTAAATGTCTTTAAGCCTCAGTTTCCCTGTCTGGAAATTGGATGAATAAAGAGACTGAAAAGAACTCAATGACCACATATGGGAAAGCACTTTCAAAAGTGCAAAGAGTTAAAAAAACAATTCATTGTTTTCCTTCATTTATTTTTTTTCTCCTAATATTTCACCATCTAATGTCCAGCTGTGAATTGTGTGTTCAGAGAATGAAAACCTTCATTTCAATGCTAGCCTATTAATAATATTGATAAATTTAAATAGAAAATTCACTTAACTGGAAACATTTCTGCAGTACCAACTCCAAAGCCTGGTAGGATTTATTTTGGGGTAGCCAGCTTTTGAGTTATCTTTGTTACTGCTGTCCTTGTAGAGCGCAAAGAATTGAAAAAGTAAGATTTTTATTTTTTTTTTTGCTTGAAATAAATTTTTTAGGGCGTTAAAAGAAAAACTTTAGACAAATTAAATTTAACAGAATTTAATTGAGCAAAGAATGATTCGTGAATCAGGCATCCCCCAGGACCAGAATAGGTTCAGAGAGACTGTCACTGCCGCATGGTTGGAGAGGATTTATGGACAGAAAAAGGAAAGTGATGTACAAAAAATGGAAGTGTGATACAGAAACAGCTGAAATTCATATAGCTTGGTATTTGCCTTGTTTGAACATTTGGCCACTGTGGCTGAAACTCGGTGATCAATATAAGATGACCATCCTGGCTAAGATGGTGAAACTCCATCTCTACTAAAAATGCAAAAATTTAGCTGGGCGTCGTGGCAGGCGCCTGTAGTCCCAGCTACTCAGGAGACTGTGGCAGGAGAATTGGTTGAACCCATGAGGTGGAAGTTGCAGTGAGCTAAGACCGCATCACTGCACTTCAGCCTGGGCAACAGAGTGAGACTCTGTTGAGAACTCTATACATTTCACTATATATAGAGAAACTTTCAGGTGGAATTTACATCGAGGGAGCTTTAGGCTAAACTTAATTTAA